GATACTGACGCCCATGTGGAGTATGGGCCAGTGAGGTCACCATCTCTATACACGTAGCTCTGCAACAGACAAACAGTTTGCCCTTTTTCAGATGGGGTTTTGAAGTACTCTGATTAATTAAAAACAGGTTTTCTACCCTTAAGGCAAAATAAACAAAAAACCCAAACCCCAAACTATCCCAGCTGCCCCACACCCCTCCAAGCTCACTCAGCTATCTTACTTTAGAATTCTTTCCAACTGTACACCTTAAGTGTTTATATTGCAGCCCAGCATCATGATTGTCACAGCATACTGGGGAAACTTCATCTTGGTTCTCAAATTTAAGTATACAGTATTTTACACTCAAGGCTGTTTAAAAAGAGGCAGATAAAGTGTTTTCATGAGAAGGGTTTCACAAGAAACACACACAAATGAGTTACTTTAAGACCAAACATCAGAGTTTTAACAAGGGGGGAAGTCTCAATGGCCAACATACCTGACCAGCACATCGTCTCCAGTCAGCTCACCAATTAACTCTGATATTAATCCACTGTTTGCACAGTAGTTTAGTGAATCTGCTGACACCGAAGAAATCTCAACAATTAACTAAACAAAAGCACAGAAAAAAAAAAGGATGGTTTATAAAAACATTACAATGATAACAATTCACCATAATGGTGACTAACCCTATATATATTAAATACAAAATTTCATGATATTTTCATCATTAACCTAAATGTTTGCCTGAAACAAGTTCATGAGGAGTTCCACATTTACAGCACACGCATTTGATTTCTAGCCAGAGTCATCTTCTCTTCAGCAATCACTGCTATCCCCATTAAGCTCTAGAATGGGTAAATTTTATTTCTCCTCTGCCATACATATCCAGACTGACACACGTGGCATCTCTCTCTTTCTGTCTCTTCCCCCCCCTCCAGAAGTTTCAATAGCACTTCACATCCAAAGGTTAAGAAACTCAGCAGCTATTTTACTTTTACTTTCAGAGAAGCAAACATTGAATTTAATCTTTAGTAAGTAACTCTGTGTAGTCCTTCCAATGCCCTATGCACCACAAGTTAGAAAATAAAAGATGTTAATAGTTCTTCACACTTTTGTACCATAAACTAAGAGAAGTTACGACATTATTTGAGGGCCAACACTGCTGTATTCTTCCTACTCCCTTCTAGTCTTGACAAAATGTAGACATGAAGAAGAGTTTGTAAAACGGTGATGAATACCAACTTAAAAGTAAGCCATAAAAATCAGATTGTAATTCAGAACTACAGTCCAGGAGAACTACAGTATCACGTCATTCAAATGCTAACATTGATCGTATCCCTACCTCATAGACTCTGTATCGAACAATATCATTTGTTGCCATGACATTTTTCAAGTCACTCAATAAACTGCTCACAAATAAAGCCTCTAAGCCATCTTGTGTCTGTGCTATTCTTGAGAGAGATTTGATGGCCTGGAAACAAAAACAGCAACTTATTATAAGAAAAACACAAACAGAAGAAAACCCAAGATGATCTGACTTAAGTTTCACTGTTCTTTAGTAACATACTAAATCACATTACACATCTGAAATTGTATTTGCAATTCACTTTTCAATGAGACCGTATCGTTGACAAGAGCTACTGCAATCCAAATCTCTGGCATTAAATTCAGATCTATGGTATCAACAGCTACTGGAACATAACAGTTCTAGGTAAGTTTTCTATCACATCCAAGTAACTTCTGGGCTTAGGGCACCTACATGCTTACAACATCCTTCAAACAGCATAAGGTCTCTCTTCTTCAAAGAAGAGCAGAGGCTGTCACCTCTGACACGGTAGAAAAGGTATTCTGTGCAGCGCCCACATCGATTTGTAGAGGAAGGAAAAAAGAAAGCAATGCTTACCTCTTTGGCCACTGCTATTTTCTCTCCACCAATGCAATTTATGATTTGCCGTAATAGTTCAGGACTATTGAGAATTTCAGTAACAGCATCTGAATTTTCAACAATCCTCCCAACCTAAAGACATGATTAAATAATTACAGAAAACAACATTAAAACAAACTTTTTCCACGCCCAACCTAAAGACATGATTAAATAATTACAGAATTACAGAAAACATTAAAACAAACTTTTTCCACTATAAAGGCAATTCAAGTACTGGAACAACCACCCAGACAGACAGAACCACCATTTTTGGAGATACTCAAGACTCAGCTGGACAATACGCTGCGCAACCTGCTACAAGCTGGTCCTGCTTTTAGCAGGGGGCTGGACCTGAAACCTCTAGAAGTCCCTTCCAAACTACAATGTTCCACAATTCTGTCTTTTAAATTAATGCAACAAGTATCAAGTTACCACAGCCTATCCCTCCTCTGTGTTTCCATAATATTGTTCAAAGTATCCCAAGTAGCAAAACATTGCTGCACTTAATTCTTATGGCCCCTGCTGTCAGTACTGGCTTAGAACATGTGACGGAAGATTCATTTATGAGTTACTTCTGTCAAGACATAGCTTTATACATTACATTTAGCAGACACACCCTAAAGCATTACATTCCAACGCATTGCACAGTATTTACCCAAAAACTGCATGAGCATGTAAGAGCACAGTTCCTGCACTTGACATAGTGCTTTTGTCACAAATTATGACACTAAACAGCAGTAACAGATTAGGACTAACCCAGCCTGGCTCAAGACAGAGCTCTGCCCCCTCCTCCTAGAGGAAAACCCTGTACCTGCGATATGGTGAGGATTTTCACAGAGTCGTTGGGGTGGAAAAGCCCTTTCTGAAGCTCTTCTCTGAAGTTCTGGATCACATAGGCCGGGTCCAGGGCCTGCAGGAGCCTCTCCAGGATGGAAACACACTCAGTCACCTGCTCCCTGGGCGGGACAGAGAGAAAACCAAGCCCTTCAGGAGGGGGAGGCCGCCGGGTGCTCCCAGATCCTCAGCTCGGCCAGCCCCCGCCCTGAAGGAAGGCAGGGAAGGAGACGGAGCCGCCCCGCTCCGGAGGAAAGGGAGAGAGGAGGCGGCG